CTAAAAACTTTTACTTAGTAACACAAAGCAAGTTTTCATAATAAAATTTTGAGATATTAGCGATTTTTAATTTTTTTTCTTAATTTTTCTTAGGAGTCTCAATTAAACATATAAGCCCTACCAAAATCCATTTATGTTCTCTTCCTAATAATTCTAACTCTAAACCCTAACTTATCTATAAAAAAAAAAGGCTCCAAAAAATTTTAAAAATCGGACATAAAATAAGTTAAATTTCATTATGATCTGCCACAATAATTAAAATTTGGTAAATATAACTATATACAAGTTAAACACTATTCTGTCTTTAAATCATAATGTTATGTAAATTTCACATACATCCTATGCTTAAAACACTACAAGAATCTCCAAACACATATACCCACCATATGTTATTTTTAGTAAGCAAGCCTAACACTAATAAAAGAATTGCTATAATAATCCCACAAAAAGAAAACCAGGCATGAAACCACCCTCTACCAAAACCGATCAAGTCCTTTTCTCCTTTACAGTGGCACAAACATGCCAAAACACTGTTAAATGACCATATGTAACAGATTACTGTGATATATTTGCACCGGCAAAAATATCCAATCGGGGGGTGTGAAGTAGGCCAGAAGTAATGTTGTCCAAGGATAAAATATTGATACAAAGGCAGTTATTGCAAAGGTAAAACGTTTATGACTTCTATCTCCTTGATTTTCATTCATCTTTATTTGTTTATTTTGAAATTTCTCATCAGGATCTTTAATTATTATATTCCCCGAAAGTGCTCTCCTCAAGATTGCTGGAATTATCCAGGACAATAATGACGGTATATATGGCCAACCACCACAGTCAATCGATGTTAGCTTGCTAATTCCTGCTATTACACCGACTACTATAAAGTATGCTGGTACTAATTATGAAAGTCTTTCCAGCACAGATGCCTTTGCTGTGCATAGTTCTACGTTTCCATTTAGATCTTGATTTGGGATTAGCTTCATAGTATAAACACCGAAAGGTCTATATTCTGGAAGTTTATCTTCACCTTGTTCTTCGCTTTTGGTATATTTATCTAATGAAAGCCAATATATACAGCGTGATTTCTTCTTTACCTCCTATGTTGATGGAGTAAAACAAACCCGTAAATGGACAGCCAAGACATCGGAATAGCCATGCTAGTTTTTCTGTAAATTTATTCTTCGGGCGATGCTCCTATTATTGCTATAGCTGGTAAGCAACCCAATAATATAGCTATGACCTGCGAAAAGCTTGATTTTTCTGTACTCATTTATACTAAAATGCGAATAAATAAAAAAAAAAAAATCAACTTAGATAGCAAGTTCAACATAAAAGCCTTAGTAATGAGTGACTCTAGGAGAAAACCTGGTGATTTTTATAAGATTTCAGGGTTTCTTTTAGGCACTCAAATGATAGTACATTACATTTATATCCTACTGTAATAGATTTATGTGATTGATTTGACAATAATTGAATGGAGAGTTTTTTTTACGTTTTAACACTAATTCCCTTCTTATAGAAATCAATGTTAACGATTTATTATAAAAAATGTATATAGTACAAGATAAAATATAGGAATTAAAGAATCGAGGAATTAATAAAGCCAAGACATCAACGAGACAAACTTCAGCTTATTTATATTTTTCTTCATCCTCATGTAATTAAATATAATTTTCTTATCCTTGTGTGAATTTGTTACAATGTTAATAATAAAAAATGCATATCTGATATATTCTCTAAAACATAAAAATTCTTCTTTCAAAAAAAAAAAACAAATTACTAATACACTTGTGATTTTAAAAATAACCAAATCGAAATTACTTTCATTAAAAAAAATTGTAAATAAATTCCAATTGAGTAAATGATTCAATGTAACAGCATAACATGACATATCGGAATTCGTGACGTAATTTCTTGGCAAAAATAAAGTATAATTTGGATTTATATGCATATGCATCTTCTCGTTTATATTTATACTGTATATTTTTATACTTTTTTTATTATATATTTTTAATAGCTTTTAAAGTTTAATAACCATTCATTTCTTCTTTTTGGTTGGGGCAAATAAATGACATTCTTTACTCTTTTGCTTCGACAAAGAAAAATAATCATTCAAAAAAAGGAAGCTCATTATTATTAATAATCAAATTCTTAATAACTATTCGGTATTAATCAATTTTGCTGAATTGTACGTACCAACTATGATGGTTAGACAAAAATATTTAAGAGAAAACTTTAACTTAAACCAAATTTATTTATCTTTTGTAGAACATTTAATTGAAACCTATTATGGGAAATTCAAACACAGGATATAAAGTTTTTACAGGGAAATCTGCCATATTTCCTATTTTTTCTTATAAGAAAGGGAAAATCTGGCAGATTTCCCTGTAAAAAATTTATATGGTGTCTACACCTTTTTGAAAATAGCTATGAAGGAAAAATGTATAAATTGGAAAAATAGAAAATGCAAGCTACGTAATAGAAAATTTTATAGAAACTACGTAGCTATTTTAATATGCAAGTAACTGCGTGATAAATTATTATTAATGGATTAGTTTATATTTTTTATATTGAATCTCCATGATCTAATCAGAATAAGAAAAGCAATAGAATTATATTAAGGCATCGATAATTAATACGTACGTATCACCAATGGAAAAATTGATTCAACGATAAAAAAAAATATTGAAAAGAAATATTCTCACACTATCTTTAGTGTCAAATATTTTTCCTTCATGGATGTTAATTTTCAAAATGAGAAGTTTAATACTAATTTATCATTATGTTACCAAAACTTTATAATAGTACGATTTGTATGAAATTAATTCGATTCTTTTTTTTTAATAAAACAAGAAATATCTAAAATCCGCGAAAAATGACTATCAATGTTCTTGAGCTAAATGAACTTGGTTATAATTATTTTAATAGCATTAATATCGAAATGAATGAACCAAAATTGTTCAAAATTATTTGAAATTTGCAAAAAGAAGCCATTTTTGCGATCAAAGCAACTTTGGGTGGTGCTATCAAGCATGGTATAGGTACTAAAATGGATGAAGAAGAAGTATTCAAGGATAAAGAAAGCATTTAAGTGATTCTTAAGTCATAATCATAGACATTCAAGTAATATCTGAAATCTGCTGAAAGTAAAATTCATAATGATCAGCTTAACTTTGGTCTCTTTTACAGAAATAGCCTTGGCACTACGTACCAAAGATAATAAGGAGGCGTTCAAAGTAGTATCAGAAATCTTCAAATGGTAATAATCCTCATGGTTAATGAGACTTTGTATGATGCTATCAAAATGGTATAGGCACTGAAAAGAATTGATGAAGCATTTAAGTGGTATCTAAAATCTGCTGAAGGTGGTAATTTCAATGGACAATATAATCTTGAAACATGCTATCAGTACGGCATAACGATAAGGCATTTAATAAGTGAAACTATAATTAAATGAATTACCATTCTTAAACGTCGTAATGCCATTATGCTAGCACTCCGAAAATGTGGTGCTCGAGCACCCAACAATTATTTCACAGTCATGTGATAACCTAAAAAAGTGAAAGTTCATTTACTTTAGGGTTGGGTAATTAGATTAGGGTTAGGGTTTAGCTCATTCTCCGAATAATCACGTGCTAGTTCGGAATCAATCTAAAATCAGACTTCAGGCTTTGAAGTTTTAATTTATCGGACTCAACTCTTTAATAAATTTAATAAGAGACATAGATATCGATATGATACCTACAAATTACTGTGATCATCGGATGATCGCTTTCACCACAGAAATTTACAGAATTTCCTTAAATTCTTCGTTTTTTACAAATTGCCATTTAAAAAATAACAATTTCAAAGATTCACTACTGAATACTAACTTTTTGCTATAAAATACATCGGTATATTATGTCTTGTGATAGTTAATCAAGTGATAATAAAAATTCCTGTTTTTTTTTAATTGCATTTTTCACAAATTTTGAACGAAGATGTTATAATGTCCTTTTCATTTTTAATATTCAATCGAACTCTGCAAAATTAATAGAATTCGAAAATGTTCCATTAAGCATTGAAATGACTGGGCCGTTATTGAAATATCTTTGTTCAAAGTTCATAAAACTAGACTTCAGGTATAAAAATTGACAAAAAGCATCGGTACGACTGGTTATGTAGTTGGATGAATGCCGGCTAGCCAAAGGTGCCGGAAATAAATTCAATTAAAGGACATGAAGTCCGCAGAATACATTATGACATTATGAGTAATTTTAGCTAAGTAAATTTAGCTAAGTAAATCGAACTGAAACGATGATATGCTCCCAGAAAATTAGCAAGTGAGATTGCGCCAGGTATCATCGTAACAGTAGAACGAGCGAGAAGCAGCATCAGCCGGTGGTTTCCCGCCTGCTCGAAGCAGGCCAGCTGTTAAATAGGAAAATGGCAGAATCAGGAGACTACAGTGTGTGGCGGGAGAGGTTGAGTCGAGAAATTTGTTTGACGAAGACTAATGTGTCGAAGTGGGAAAGGGTGTCGAAGCAATTTGTTTTCAGTTATTTATATATTGATTGTGGTAGGTGGCTTTTATATTACGTTTGTTTATGGTTGCATATTGATTCATGCAATTTAACTGATTGACTCGTTCTTTGATCCCGACCCATGATCTAAGTGCGGGGTTATAGCACGTGGCATGTAACCCTGACCCGTTATTCCCTTACTTTTCGATCCGTTGACTCTTGTCAACACGCATTATGTGGGCTAGGTGGTGGGAAAAGGGACGAAATTGACAAAAAAAAAAAAAAAAAAAGATCTTCGGAAAATCAATTTTTATATTATAAATCTTATAATAAATCATAAGAAAATGCAAACTTTAAAGAGCTATACAGCAAAATTTTATTAATCTAACTAATTTTTTGTCTTAATAGAAAAATGATCCTAATCTTATTTTAAATTGATTTATATAAAAAAACTGCTTTTGAAAAAATTGTCATTTTCGTCCCTTTTTCCAGCACCTAGACCATGTAATTTTTAGCCAATTACAAGTCTGTATTCTATAATATTCTAATTCTATAAAATTTGCTGATTACAGTAATCAGTTGCATAAAGTTTAACATGTCAAATAAATGAAGAAATACATATTCATAAAGCTTTTATCGTTATGATTTTTAAATTTAAATTTCAACAAGTTCCTAAGTATAATAATCATTTATAATCGATATATTAAGATAATCATTCTAAATTTCAAAACGGACCAGGTTTTCAAAAAACGCGCATTTGTGATTAGTGCTTGCCATAACCTTATTTTTTTCATATTATTTTATGTTATCAAAAATTTAAAAATTAAAATATTAGATATAGCTTGCATTATCTAAATACGTATCAATTTAGCCGATTTTCCTTCAAAAGACATTCATTTAAATCTAAATCAACCAATCAACCAATCAACACAAAATCGGTAGCCATCCTCTGTGGCGTAAATCGCGCGTTCGACACCTACACTATTGTTATTTCCTAAGAAAGTTTTCAACTGAATGTTCTATAGAAATATAATAAATAAATTTGCCTAAGTCGGTTTTCTCTAAACCATCATAATACTGTTAATATATATATGGGGTCTTTGCTTTGAAAATCAAGTATGGATCATATGATTTACTATGTTCCATAACGTCATTTTCAAGGCAAAGACCCCATATTAATAGATAATATACTGTTAAATCCAAATAAATTATATACAGTACTATATTATTGTTTTGTTATAGAGATCCCAAAATTTCAACCAATTCGGAAATCACAAAATATTTTACATTGAATCTTCATAATCTAACCAGAAAAAGCAATAGAACTATTAAGGCGTCGATAATTACTATCACCAATAAAAAAAAATAACAAAAGAATTTAGAAAAGAAATATTCTCACTCTTTCTTTGTGTCGAATGTTTTTCTTTTCATGAACCTTAATTCTCAAAACGGAAAGTTAATATTAATTTATCATTATGTTACTAAAATTTATAAGATGGTACGATTTGTACGTACGAAATAAAATCGAAAAATTATAAAATAATTCGATTTTTTATTTTTATTTATATTTTTTTTTAATAAAACAAAAATATCTAAAATTCGTTAAAAATGATTATAAATGATCTTGAACTAAATGAATTTGACCATAATGATTTTAATGGCACCAATATCGAAAAGAACGAATCAAAATCATTCGAGGATTATCTGAAATCTGCCAAAAGAGGCAATTTTTGTGATCAAAGCAACTTAGGGTGGTGCTATCTATATGGTATAGATACTAAAAAGGATGTAAAAGAGGCATTCAAATGGTTTCTAAAATCTGCTGAAGGTGGCGATTCCAATGGTCAATTTAATCTTGGGTGGTGTTATGAACATGGCAAAGGTACTGAAAAGGATGAAGAAGAGGCATTTAAGTGGTATTTAAAATCTGCTGAAGGTGGTGATCCTAAGGGTCAGTGTAATTTTGGATGGTGTTTCTTAAGAGGAATTGGTACTACCAAGAATAAAGAGAAAGCGTTCGAGTGGTTTTCCAAGTCCGCAGAAAACCATGATCATCAAGCGCAATGTAATCTTGGATATTGTTATCGAAATGGTATTGGCACTACTAAAGATAATAAGATGGCATTCGAGTGGTATCGGAAATCCGCTGAAGGCGGAAATCCTCGTGGTCAGTTTAGCCTTGGTCTCTTTTACAGAAATGGCTTAGGCATTACTAAAAATAATAAGGAGGCATTCAAGTGGTATAAGAAATCTGCAAATGGTGATGACCCTCGCGGTCAATGCGGCCTTGGATGGTGCTATCAAAATGGAATAGGCACTAAACCGAATGAAGAAGAGGCATTCAAGTGGTATCTAAAATCTGCTAAACAGGGTAATTTCAACGGACAATATAATCTTGGATTATGTTATCAGAACGGTATAGGTACCATTAGGGATGAATATAAGGCATTCAATTTGTATCTAAAGTATGCAAAAAAAGGAAATGCTGATTGCCAATGTAAACTTGGCTCTTGTTACAGAATGGGCATCGGCGTTACTAAAAATTATAATAAAGCATTCAAATGGTATCTGAAATCAGCTGAAAATGGCAATTCTCATGGTCAACTAAATCTTTCATTCTGTTATAAAGAAGGTATAGGCACAGTCAAGGATAAGAAGAAGGCATCTGAATGGGATATTAAATCCCATTCACATTAACAGTATTATGAAAAAAATATTAAATAATAGTAGTTATTTTATTCTTATTCATTTATTTTTTCTCTTTTCTTTTATCTTATCCACTTATATATTTTTATTTTTGTTTTATTGCAAGTTCTTTATATTGGTTGTGGGTTAAACTGGTTGTTATATAGAGCAAAGCCCATTATAATTAAGCATTGGTAGATAAAGTTTATTAGTGATAGAATATTGGTATTGTTATATTATTGAAAGTATTAATACCGTGATTTTGAAATATACAAATATAGTAAATAAATAATTCATATATCGATATGGTGATTTCTAACTTTTATTATTCATATCTAATGAACCTTTGTCAATTTCTATGTTTAAATGCTGCTTAATTTATTGTAATCAGTGGACACTTGGTTCCGTTTACGAATCCTTGCCAATTTAGTTTGAGTATAAAATTTTTATGTACAGTCAAAATTTTATAATAGTCCTATGTGCTCTTAAAAAACCAGTGGTTTTTCTATGACGAACTTTGCTTATTTTTCTTCTAGAGCCGTCAATTCGATATAGAAAGAGTTGACTGTAATTTGTCAAGTATCACGCGTCAACATTGTATACAACCTGTCCTATGATATTGGGGATAAAGACGTTAACCTATCCGAAAATGTTAAAGTCTTTTCCTTAATTTGGTGAATGTTAAAGCTATTTTGTTTCGACTTCTAGCACTTCTCTCATATTTAAAGAGCGAGGTAGTAAATCAACGGTCATCATTACTCATCCTTCAACTTTTGACTACCAAGAACTCGACAATTCTTGGGTAGCACGATTCTTTAATGGAGCAAAAAAGTTGCAAAAAGAGGATAAGGTGCGTTTTTTTTTATTTTGCAAAAGAAAGAATAACTCCTAATCGAATCTATACTTAGTTATGCAGTGTAAAAAATGCGGCACAAAAAGTATGCACGCACTCAGCAAAAGAAAAATATCTGCCAAAAGAAAAATATCAGTGAAAAAAAATATCAGTGAAAGAAAAATATCAATGAAAGAAAAATATCAGCAAAGAAAATATTAGCAAAAGAAAAATATCAGCAATTAAAAAAGTATGAAATTCAACCCAATGACATTGAAGTTAGAAAATTTCATGTGCGCGCACATTCGTTCGTATACACTGTCTTTAACTACGTGACTTGCCTAGGAGAATTACTGGGTTGCTGTGTTTGGTAACCACCCAATCTCTCCTATCCGGGCGCCCTAACTCTTGTCGTTGGTAAAATCTACTAGTTATAAAAGAGGAATTACTAAATAAAAGGGTTTAGCGTGCTGTTAACAATCTTTCTCATAATAGATAAACAAAGAACGCTCAAAACATAAAAAAATATTTGCAAAAATACTGGGAGTCTGTGTGTAGCAAACGTGAAAAAGAAAATGTGGTGCCCGCTGCGTCTCGTCCAAAAAAACTTTTCTATCATGACATTCTTAATGAACTTATGAATAATCCTACTCTTATACATGGGTGTCTAAATTATTTTTCTCATGGTGTAATTTAAATAGTCAAAATTAATTTTGACTGTCTAAATCATAAATATTTTAGTCTGTCAAAAATAATTTAGATTGTTGAAATAATTTAGATTGTCAAAAATATTTTAGATTGTCAAAAATATTTTAGATTGTCGAAAATATTTTAGACTGTCGAAAATAATTTAGATTGTCGAAAATATTTTAGATTGTCGAAAATATTTTAGATTGTCAATAATATAAGCTTGTTGAAAATATTTAGATTATTAACAGTTAAGACTACTAATTCGTTAGTAGTTAATTTTTGTTTCATAAGTATGCGTAATATACAGTACTAACTTTATATTTATATGATTATTTCAATAAGAAAAATAACCATATGAAAAGAAATACGTATAGTACTACGGTATATAATAATATACAATGCTTAACTGTTAAATTAAATAAAAAAAAAAATTTATACATCCTTATTAGAGATGTACCTCGCGTGATAGAATTTGTTTAGACATTAAAGAGATATTAAGCTAGTTTGTAAGAATTTTTGTATAGAGTTTTTTCATATAT